GAAGGCCGGGACCGGGACAGGGTTTGAATTGCGATTGAGGGTTCAGGTTGGTTCCCTCCTTCCTTTCCCCACTGGAAGTTTGGTTTCAATCTTCGAAGCCGGGCGACGTCATTTTCATTTCTCAGGGTTACATCTCTGGGCTGTGATGACTGAATGGTTAGCACTCTGCCCTTATTGTCAGTTATTCGCTTTTGTTATCCTCTCACGTGAGCCACAATACCAGTTATCATCATTACCATCAAAAAGCTTCATTTAATTTCTATTAAATCCTATTCATCTGTACAATTCATTCGAGAGCTCGAGACTTTTCCACTTGACGGGCATTCGTACAAAAATTGCTTCTCCTTTAGTCTAGACTTTTCACTATTCTCATTCTCACATTCTACGTCTTTAACTTGAAATCAGGGATACTGTAAAGTGATTGGCTTAGAAGGCACCATAAAAATCTTCTTTGAAAAAAGCTATAGGCAGAAATCGCGGGCCATTCAAATTTGATATCTGGATCCATGCCTTCAAGAGTTTTCAATAGATGCCGTAGACATGGCGCATTCCTGAAAGGTTCGCATATTGAAAAGCTTACCGGCATCATTTTCCTATGCTGTATATCTTTATATTTTCTAATGTAGTATGAAAGGATTTCCGCGTCGATTGGCTATCCACGGGTTGTTTACGGAAATCTACATAAGGTAAACAGACACCGAAAATTGAGTAGAGCCGTTACAAATTGAGGTGTTCGTTTCTAAATGCGTTCAGAGAATCTGAACCTTGTCTAATGCTAAGTCAGACACAACATCGGGCTGAAGCTAGGTTTTACTAACAAATCAGCCTTCTCTCTGTCCCTACGGAAGGCGGACAATCAGACTGGCCTAACCAGGAAGCACTACTTGGTTCGGTTCGCCAGCTTTTCTCGGAGTTACTCAGAACCTTTTAGGTCTGTTCGCTCCTTCTTTTCTTCTAGCTACCTTTTCGAAGAACTTACCCTACTGCAAGAGACGTAAAAACGTTAAGTAACCAACATTTGAAAAACCCCTCGGCGAAATTCCTACTGCATCGGTCAAAAGCATTTTTGTGCTCGGGAAGCTTCTGCGGAGACACTTTCCCATTTTATTTTCTTAGAACGTCTCAACTAAAGGTGAACGATGTATATCAAAGGAATTCTGCGTGACACATTTCACTTTTATATATTTCTTTACATTTTTTTGTGAATTTTGGGTTTTCCAAAGCATTAGCCCCATCTCTCATCCTTTCCTTCCATCAGGGCTCGCGCTGTGGTGTTTAGGTCTGGTTCCATTCCTAAGGAAGCATATGGAAGCAATCCGCCTCCCCTTCCTCCTCCTCCACCTGGGGCAATTCGAACCCATACTCGGTCTTCTTGCCAGGCACACGCTTGAGCCCCCATGGAACAAGCAGCGCTCTGGCACTGATTAATCCCATTTTAAGTTGCGCCCCAGCGTACGACTCCCATTCGGAAACGTGGTTGGATTTGAATGCGCGTATACTCTATACAATGACTTAAGGTAGCCCGTACAGGTCAGAGCTTTTCATCTTCCAGATAAGTCAGGTATCAATTAAGGCTCGATCGGCCTAGATGAATGTCCATCCGGGATTCGGTCCCAGGTCCCCTATTTGGTAATACATTACCTTCGTCCCATTCCTGTATCATAACATTTTTCACTGATTCAATCTCATCCTTCAGTGGTTAGGTCGAGTCATCCATTTGGAAAAGGGCCCATATATTTGGTAGGCGGGCATATGAATATTTCTGTCACTTGCTCCGCCCCTACTCGGACAACATTCGTAAACACCGTAGTTTCCCTCGCCAAATGGGAGCCGTTTACCCCAGGTGTGCATTTTCCACAGGCCATTCCTAATTGCTACATCTGGCCCATAAAAATGTTGAAGGGGAACTTTCAATTACTCACAAGTAGTTTTCCAAGACTGACAGTGAAGCCCTCAGTGAGCGCTGAAAATTCATTTTGTTTTTAAAAACTTATTGATTGTGTCTTGTTGTCGGAAACCGAGAGCTAGCCTTTCTCTGAACTAATTCCTTCCTCTATGCTACTGCTATGAGACTCTTCTTTACTGCATGGTTGCAGCTTAATCTTTGGAACGCCCTGTCTTCATAAATTAAAAGGAATTGCTTCAGTTGAAGTTTAGGGTCCTCATTTATACGACTATTCCTCAACCTCATCACTTTTATGGCTTCTCCAAGGCGACGGATAAGCAACGGATTGGGTCAGGCATCATTTGGAAAGAGGTATCCCCTCCCTGGAAAGAAAAAATGAAAAATCCCCCTCGAAATTTCCACTTTCACTTGAATCTCCTTCTCATAGGGCTCCCAGATTCCATCTACAAATCGGGCTTCAGAATCTGGGCAGATTAATTAAATACTGAGTGTACTTTCAGGGTTCAGTTGACGTGATTGCACTTTTGAGTAGGAATCAGTTATTCTTAGAAGAGAATCAGATACCCGTGACTAATTGATCCCACCCACAGGATGCTTCTTAGAAGACGGGATTTTTGCCTGAAACATTCGATCGAAAAAAGTTGTTCTATTACCGTTTCCTCACTTCTTTTTTCTGTAGTAATCTATTCCGAGGACAAACTCAAGAATATCAGTTAGTTCTTTCTCTTCCGTTTCTCCAGGAAGACAGTTCCATATATGACTTGTATACAGCCTTGTATGACAGCGTATGTAACTCTGAATATATATTGCCCTCTATAGGCCTATTAACTGTCCCTTTGATCACAGATTTCCTCAAGTGGGCGCCGGTAATGTCTCTATTCGTCCCCGTCGCGAGCCAGTGTGGTCCAGTAGGTCGTCCTCGCTGGGGGGATATGGGGCACAGCATTCTTTTCGTTCAGAGCTCTCGTGAAGTAACCTGACCATCACACTGGAGGCCATCCCGGTGTTCGTTTACCGTCCCGGGGAATCAGGTCCGTAACTGACTGGTCCAACGGTCTTTACAATATCGTAGCCCTGTGCTACATGCTAACTGATTCACGGAACCATCGTTATGTTCCTGTCCATATTGCAGAATCTCCAGGAGATGTAGAAAGGAATCCAAGGGGAATAGGGAATGGAAGCTTTCCCCTTGTTAGATTGCGCCCTTCAACCAAGCTTTGTTTTCCTTCTTTTCTTTTGTTTTCCTTCTTTGCGTAATTTCTTTGTTGATTCTTAATTTCTTTCTTGCATTTTTTGCATAATGACCTTTAAAGTTTGGACTTTTTGAAAACAACTTTTTGCTTCCTGACATCACCATGTATGGGCATAGACCTCCTATACTCCTATAGATCGTCAAAAAACTCCTCATTGCAACAGCTGACTGTGTTGCCATCGGAGGATTAATTTACATAAATGAATTGCTTGTTTTCCTTCCAAAATTCTTCATCACAATTCGGCTCATTATGTTTTTCTCCTATCGATCGTTTTGATGAGTTTTTTCATATTTTCTAGTATTGCTCCCGTTCTGAGAATTGTAGCTGACACCAAGGTGTATTTATGTCTCTCTGACTGACAGCCGACTGCCATAAGAAAGCTATTCATCCGCGCTACCGTGAACCAAAGGCCTGTCGTCCATTTTCGTCGTCGTGGTCGCCGTCGTCGTCATCGCCGTCGTCGTCGGTCGTGATGATGATGGCCGTTGGGTTAATTGGCGTAAATAATTTTACTCAACGTCTATAGACATGCGTTCGTGCATGAATGATTGCCTTTGGTCGACTCTCTTTGAAACCACCCACCATATCGCGCATGGTCGTGTAGCTTTTCCATGCCCAATTTCACCAAATTCCCAAGCCATCGTTAACTTCGCATTAATTTGGGCCGTATTTGAACGTTTATAGTCGTGCGCAATGGCACGGAAAGATACACGAACGAAATTGGCCAGGAGTAAAAGTGCGGCACGACCTCGTGCGCCCAACTCCACTGGACGAGATATGACACGGCGACCGTACGAGATCACCACCATCGTGTTGGGAGCTACGAAGGTAAGCAATTTTCACTACGAAACCCGGAAGAGACTACCGTAATTTATTAGTGAGCTTTATAAAATAGATAACTAGTTGCCTTTCGAGTTGTACCTTAAGGCTACAAGTTACTAGGGAGGATTTTTGATGAAAGGTTGAGAAGCGGAGGCTCATACCTGTAGGTGACTCCGGTGTGGGAATTTTACCCACCCCTTGGAAAGCTGATTGCTCTGATAACGCGGGAGAACTTATCAAAACAACATTTTGTGCTGTATGGGGGCAGTTTCACATCTCGAAGAACCTTCACACGTAAGCTCCCTAAACAAACCTTAGCATGAGAGGTCGCTAAGTCAGAGCAAAAAGCAGCCATTCGAGCTAGTCCCCTCAAAAATGGTCCCAGATAAAATTACAAAATGCTATTTATTTTTCAGTTACTACTGTACATCCCGAATTCGTCAATGACACTTGATTCAGGTGGGAAAGTCGGCTTTAGTTTCACAGTTCCTCTGGGAGCGTTTCCTGACGGACTATCGACCAACGGTCGAGGAATTCAACTGGATTGAATATGACGTGGAAGAAGGCAGTGCACTCATGTTGCAGGTGATTTTTAAATTCAATTCAGGTTTACGCCATGTATTGGTCACCTCTATAATCTACTCAGTATTCATTACCTGCTTGTTTTATTCGTTAGCATCAATTCATCAGGAAACCTGGTGATCTAAAAACAGACTCACTTTCCCTTTTTTACTTATCTCTTCAATTACCCGGTTAGATTTTTTTGGTTATAGTGCCGTTTCGTTCATTTGCTGTGAGGGAGATATTCTTGCTGAAATCCAGA